GCCCTTTTTATTATCCTTGACCCCTCTATATGCTTTAAGGGAAGCATTAGTTTCTCTGTACTGTATGGAACTATGCATATTTTGCTTACCAAGTTTTCAGAAGGTACAAGGGAGCAGGAGTTTTCTAGTGCGTTTGACATATTTTGTGGCACTAAGCACTTGACAGCAGAAAAGTGTGAAATATCTTGGTATATTTCTCACATTTTGGGTGGTGTCAGGTGGTGTTTTGAGTTATCTTGTGAAAGAATCCCATTCCTTTCCACGTAACCAGCCCCAAACTGAGTAACAGATAAGCATAAATATGCTGTTTGCTTCTGAGTGAACGCTTATGTCTTGGGAGGTTTGGATGTTATCCCTTGGCATACAGTGCATACGTTTCTAGTTTCTGCCAGTCTGGAACAATGTGGGCTTGTATGAGTGTGTAGTAGTGGCACAAGTTAAAAGTGGTGAAGGAATACATGAGGAGACTGGAGATGTTGGACCCTGTTGGGTGGCTCGTTGCTGTCTGCCTGCTGGGGTTTGCTGTCCATGCCGCTCAGATGCCTTGCTGGCAGAGCCAGGCTTGCAGGTAATCACTGTGTCACTGTTTTTAGTTGGATGCTCTGCAAAATAAACTTTTTCTTCCCCCCACACCCCCCCCTTCTTTTCTGAGGCAGTTGAAGCTGAGTTGGCTGATGTGATGAGTGTGAGAAGTGCTTGCTTAAGCTTATGTTGTGGGAAGGGGTGCATGAGCAGAAGTGTGGATTGTGTGGAGTAGCGCTACTCTTGCGGAAGAGTGACATGCATTCTAGTACCCTTCCAGCAGATGTGTGGTAAAGAATACATAGTGGGATGAAGCATCTGAGGTGCTCTTGCCAAATCCGTGCATTGGAAGCTTCCGTGGTACTGGTGAGCTGGAAGCACATGCCTACGTGTGGTCCTGACTGAAAGCTGTGGTGAATAATATATTTGAAAGTATTGGGTAGCACCCCGTTGAAGGCTGAAGGGTGAGAAGTTTGGGAATACTGAGATCGCAGCTTGCCTGAGTGGCGTGGCAAATAACATATTTGTACAGATTGAATTCTGTATAACTCTGTTAGGTAAGATAAGTGGTTGTATATTGTGCAAGAATTTGACTTTTGCTGAAATCACTCTGAAGCAAGCTGCAAAGTAAAATACTGCATCACTCTGTATACTACAGTACAATTGTAAAAGTGGTGGTGTTGTCTAGGACTGCACCATCAGGAGATGCCCAGATCATAAGCTCCTTTAGGAGACCTTCCACTTGGCTTTAGGAGATCCTGGTGACAGGAGCCAGTCCTCTCTGGTGTTTTTAATTGCACATGGTTGACTGGAGCCTTTGCTCTTAACATTTTTCCTTTTTTTTTTTTTTTTCTTTTTAAGGGAACATAGTATAAGCACTGGTCAAAGGGAAACCTTGGGCAGCGAAAGAAAAAAGTGTTACGTGGAAATATTCATGTGCATGGGAACTTACAAGGAAATGTGGTTTTTAAATGGTTCAAACACATTGGGGTTTTTTTGCCTGCATTTTACTCAAAATGTGTTTGTGCAACGAAATAACCACACTCTCTAGGGCATAACTGGCCATGTAGCCAATTACTACACTTCCATTTGTGTGGTGCTGTCTGAGGACTTCTACACAGTGGAAATAAACCAGTCAATAGTTTGAATCAGATTATCAAGGTGTATTAATTATAGAGAAAAGCCAGTATCTGCTCTACAGGATAGAAAATATCCTTCTTTCAGCTAGAGAATTTCAAACAGCTCAGGAAGAGGGAAGGAAGTGTTGAAATGGTTACTGCTGTTGTAATGGAAAACTATATAGTACATCTTTTGTGCTAAGTATCTCCTTATGGCTTTGTTTCATTATTTTTATTTTGTAGTGGGTAAGACAGTGATCCTGCAGTCTCCTTTCCACCCTTGTCCTTGTGGTGACCCGTGCTTGCCCTTGAGTGGGATAGTTGGAAAACTTTTACAGCTTGCAAAATGAGGCTTGCAAAGAAGGCAGAATCTTTGTGCAAAACAAAATATGCTTGAAATATGACACAAGTGGTTTTGGTGTCTGTTATAATGAATGACTTTTTTTCTTTAAAGGGCTAGGAGACCTTTAAGAGGCCTTAGTAGGCAAAATTGGGGTAAAATTATTTTATAAAATTGAGTTTTTGCATAACTGTTCTGGATTTTGTTGATCATCAGCATGAATATAAATAAAATTGTGTTTGGTATGTTATGTATTAAATCCAATATAGCTGCGCAATTAACAAACTTGTTAACTCTTTGTATCATGTTACAACGAACATCCTGTAACAGTCATTTTGCCAGTGTGACAGAGAAATGCTATATCTGAAAACTTTTTAACTAAGTTTAAGGAGTTGGGGGTCCAAACCATAACAAAATCTAAATGGTGGATCAGATGTCTTTAAATTTTTAATAAAAAAGATACTTTGGTATTTGTTCCAGTGAGATGTAAATACTGCCTTTTGAAACACTTGAAAAACTCCTTCTCTACTCAGCTTTTAACACCACTTCTAAAACATAGAAATGATTGGGTTTTCACTGATGAAAGATGGCTAGTTGAGTGTAAAAGCACATGTGGTGAAAGCAAGCTGTTCTGCAGTGCTCATACTGCATTGGACAGTTAAGTCTGAGAGTAGAGGATTAGGTTTGGGAAATAGCTTCTCAAAAAACAGAAATGAGAATGACAAAAATCAATTTGCTACAACGAACAGGTGGCAAGAAACACTGCGGGAGGACTTGGCATAATTTTTGCACTCTGCGATGGCTACTCCAGTTAATGATTCAGTGCCTTTTATTGTCATTGTGCATACATCTGGAGATGCATTGTCTCCCATGAAAGGGTAATCCAGCCTGTTCAGTAATAACAACTCTTTTGCCTTGAAACAGTAAGGATTTTGCAGCATGTGAGACAAAAGGCTCCTTTGCTACTTCTGAGAATAAGATTGCAGTTGTCACGTTTCTTCATCACCAGCGTGCCTGGCACTTCACAGTATAGCTCAGACTTCCCTTTGTTAATGGAAGAGAAAGAGGATCTTTATGCTCTTCTGTTATTGGTAATTTTTATTTTCATAATTCATTTTGCTATTTAATACACATGACTTATGCCTAAATCTCCTTCAGGATTTAGTTTATAAAGTTAGGTTTCAGTTAACTGAAACTTGAGCAGTCTTCTCAAAAAATCCTATTCCTAAAAAAAGTTAATAAAAAATAATAAAAAAAAAAATCATGCCACCTTTGTGAATGCTCTACACAATACAACGCAGTTAACCAGAAAGCCTGAGAAAACAGACAAATGCAGTTTTGTGTCTCTTAAAGCAAACCAGAACAGCTGGTGAGGATGACCCAGGCAGTGATGTTTTTGGTAGACTGTCCTTACTGGTTGCTTCAGGAAAAGATGGAAACAATAATGACTGAAATAAAAGTAGCACTCACTTCTGGGTGATAGGCACAGAGATCTGGAGCAGTCATGTTGCTTCCAGGCTTTGTATCCAAACGCAGGCATCTCAGCAATGAGAAAACCAGCAAGGTTTGCTGGACAAGATATGGATGAGTTTCTTACAGGACCGAATCCTGCTGTGAGTAAACTGAGTTTGGGGGCTCTGTAGGCCTCAGCTAATTAAAAGTGTTGTCTAAGTTGCATCAGCATGAATATAAATAAAATTGTGTTTAGTGTGTTATGTATTAAATTTAAATGCTTTTTACTGCTTCCGGTGTGGAAGGCAGGCTTGTCTCTTTCAGCTTCTTTTCCATAAAGGAAAACAATGAGGAGTTTGTTCAGCTTCTGCGTGCAGAATAAATACGTTTAGTCATTCTTTGCATAACTGTGGGGAAGAAGGGGTTGCTAGCTTTCTCATCGTTCAGCTTGTTTCTTAATCACATAATACAAGTTAACTGTGAAAAATACCTAGTGGAAGTATGAAGAAATGGTCTGTGCTGTACTGTGTTCCCATACCAGATGCTTTTGAGTTTAATTTTGTTGAAGATATACATGCTGTTGTTTCAAGATGCTATGCCATGGCAAATGACCAGTAGCAACTGAGTGACTGATACTTTTTAAATAGCCACCGTTTCAGTGACTTCTTTTTGAGAAGGCATGTGGCTTAAAATTGCCTTTTGTGGGTTTTTTTGTATAATTTTTTTCTTATTGTACTGTGTATTCTGAAAGCCTGTCTCTTATTTCTTCCCTGTGTGTGTTTGTGCATGTTTCAGTGACTTTATAACATGCAAGACGCTGATGCCAGGGGGAGCTCCCCTGCTTTCCTCCGGCCTCAGAACGGAAGCAGTCACAGGTCTTCAGGGTATGTCCCGGGGAGAATTGCCCCTCTCCGTCCCCCGCTGCCTTCGCAGAGCCATGCTGCAGCCGAATTTACCTCTGCGAGACAAGAAGCCCGGACAAGACTCCCATCCTTACCAGCGGATCAGCACCGCCGCCAGGCAGAAGCCAACAGGCATAAAAATACTCTCATTTGCTTTGCCATTTCTAGCCTTTCACTTTTTGTTGCACTGGGGATTTTTTTGGGAATAGCTTCAAAATATGCTCCAGATGGTAAGTTCTTTTGCAAACAAAATCACCCTAGAAGTGATTCCCCATGAACATAATTCAATAATTCATTGTCAGGATTAGTGTTAAAAGTTAAGTGCAAAAATAGGATGTTTACTGCAGTTTTAACATGGAGGGAAGCAGTGTTTGGGGGCTAAGATCAGCTCCCGTTTCTGTTATCAGTGTCATTTTTATGTGTTTTTACTGTGAATGATTTGATCTACTTACATGAAGCAAAAAGGCATAGCAGTAAACAAATACTACAGGTGAGAGGGAAAGAATGATGAATGTTGTGTAAGTGTAGTTATCTTTTTCTGCAGGAGAAGCTGTCTGATATGTTCACAAATTGCAGACAAAATTAAATCCTGTCTGTTTATGCAGTCACTAAAGAAGGGAGTAAGAGAGTGTTCAAGTAAAAATATCTAAAAATCGTCAAGTTTATACCAACAATGTATGTTTACTTTGTTTGTACACAAATTGGGCAGGAACCGTTTTGATCTATTAGCCCTGATTTTTTTCAGCTCATGTTAGAAAACTGGGCAACTTTCATGGGATTTGGAAATCCTCCCAAATGTGTCAGTGGTTATAAGCAGGAACAGGTGATGTGATTAACTGTTCATCATTTATATACATCCCTCTGGCCAAATACAGCTAGGAGTTGCTCTCAGGTGCAGTTGCTGAAGGTTGTAGTATAGTTTGGACCATAGGCTGTTTTTTTCAGTGGGGTTTTTTTTTGTTGTTTTGGGGTTTTTTAAGGCAGAAGTCAGGTTTCTAAAAGCTACACAGGGTTTTGAATTGAAACCGTTGGCTATTGTAACACAGCAGACTTGGACTCCTCATTGGCTTTTGGTATAGTAACTCAAAAGATTCAGTTTCCAAAGTCAATGCAACACAGGCTGAACAAATTTAGATAATCTATTGAAATTTTCAAATGACAGTACATTGGCGACATGGACAGTGGGATTGAGTGCACCCTCAGCAAGTTTGTGGACAACACCAAGCTGTGTGGTGCAGTTGATGTACTAGAGGGAAGGGATGCCATCCAGAGGGACCTGGACAAGTTTGAGAGGTGGGCCCATGCCAAATTCATGAAGTTCAACAAAGCCAGATGCAAGGTCGTGGACACGGGTTGAGGCAATCCCAAGCACAAATACAGGCTGGGTAGAGGATGGCTTGAGAGCAGCCCTGAGGAGGACTTGGGGGTATCTGTAGCTAAAAAATTGAACATGGGCTGGCAATGTGCACTCGTGGCCCAGAAGGCCAACCAGATCCTGGGCTGCATCAAGAGAAGCATGACCAGCAGGTCGAGGGAGGTGATTCTGCCCCTCTACTCTGCTTTCATGAGACCCCACCTGGAGTACTGTGTCCAGGTCTGGGCCCTCCAATGCAAGAAGGACATTGAGCTGTGGGAGTGGGTCCAGAGGAGGCCACGAAGATGATCAGAGGGCTGGAGCACCTCCCCTGTGAGGACAGGCTGAGAGAGTTGGGGTTGTTCAGCCTGGAAAAGAGAAGGCTCTGGAGAGACCTAATAGCGGTCTTCCAGTACCTGAAGAGGACTGACAGGAAAGCTGGGGAGGGACTTCTTACAAGAGCATGTAGCAACATGATGAGGAGTAATGGATTTAAACTGGAAGAGGGCAGATTTAGGCTAGATATTAGAAAGAAATTATTTATTGTGAGGGTGGTGAGACACCAAACAGAACAAGTTGCCCAGGGAAGTTGTGGATGCCCCATCCCTGGAGGTGTTCAAGGCCAGGCTGGATGAGGCTTTGAGCAACCTGGTCTAGTGGAAGGTGTCCTGGCCCAACCTGGTCTAGTGGAGGGTGTCCCTGCCCGTGGCAGGGGGGGTTGGAACTCGATGATCTCCAAGGGCCCTTCCAACCCAAACCATTCTATGATTCTATGAAGGTGAATGTATACGTCTAACTGGAACACTCTTGATGGTGGCTTGCAGAGATCCCTTTTTGGGTGAAGTTACTGATTTTTCCTAATAATTTTGAAGGAAAACAAAAAAACCTGAGGGAGTAGTACATGGAAAGTCACTGCTATGTTGTGATCTGAATGATTGGTAACAGGGGTAGATATCTGTAGTAAGTACTTTGGTTACAGCCCAGCTCCAGAGGAGGCTGAAGGGTGACTTAGCCAATTGACTCTGTGAAGCACTGTGTGGGGAGAAAGACCTTTCTACTTTGATACCAAGACTTTAACTTTCAATTAACTAAAAGTTGTAGATTTTGATGGTGGTTTTAGTAGAAGTGGGTTGTTATCATGTGCTGTGGGATATGTAAAATAGTAGTCCCTTTATGCTTTAAAAGCTGATAATGTGAAGAAGGTGGCTTGCCTTTTTTAAAAACGGAAGTGGTTTTGGTATGGTTTTGCTTCATCTGCAGTAGCTCATTTCAGTGGCATTTAGTTGTGTGGGTTTTTTGCACTGAATCATGGTCAGCACATGGTTGATGGATCACCGAGGTTACTGAAGATGTTGTGGGAAGAGTTGCTCTGATTTAGTAGATGGGGTTTTTTTAGTCTATGGTAATGGCATAAGGACTAAGTAGTAACCCAAAGTCGTGACTGCTTTCCTTCAATGTCCCACTGCTGCTCAATGGAAGTCCAGGCCAGTTTTCAGTATTAATTATTACATTGTGTCTGAAGCTTCCCTGCATTACCCTTCAGAAAAAAAAACCAAAGGATTCCGTGGGTGCATGTTGGAAACTCTGACACAAGAGAAACTGCTAGAGGCACCAAGGAAAGTTTGGCTGAAATTTTAATCTTGCAGTATTGTTGTTGCAGCAACTTCCCAAAAGTTTCCCAACAGGTTGAAATGTTAATATGCTCAGCTCCAACCTAGCACATGTGGTACTGCAGCCAGCGGCATTAGTTCCAGCTAGGTGTGTTCCTCTTCAGGGCTAAGTGGAAATCCATATTGTCAGTACTTTTAATGGCTGTTTAAAAGGCAGCAGAGGGAATGTGAGACTTAGTAGTAATCACATGTAAATCCTGAACCTCCGGCGTACCTTCCCCAAAGGGAAAATGATACTTGTCTGCATTTCTGTTCCTGCCTGTCAGCTGGTTTCTTTTTTCCTCCTTGCTTTTATCTTCCTGTCATCATCTTGTTTTTTGTTTTTTTTTTTTTTTTTTTTTTGTTAGGAGTCCTGGACACTGGAGATCAGGGAGAGCATTGGAAATGCCATTTCCTTCCCCATTTCAAGGGGCTTGTGCTGCAGGGTCAGGATGACAAGCTGGGGAGGTTTTCAGGGAGAAGTTCTGCCTGGCCTTTGCAGCTCTCAGCTGGAGCTTGCCCAGGGTAAACAGGATCCTCAGAAAATTTAGCTGCCAAACTGTGATAAACTTCTACTGAGCATAATATAACACTGATAGCTTTTTCCCAGAGGCCTTAAAAACTCCAGACTTGGTGGCTAAGTAGGTAGAAAGCAACTATTTAACTATATCTTGAGAACTGTTTCCTGCCTTTTCTCCTGCCAGATTTCATATCCTTGCTCCAGCACATGGAAGGTTCTAGAATTTTTTTTTGGCAGGATGTTCTTTTATGGGGTTTTTTTTCCTCCACCATTTGCAAAAATATCACTTCCTTCCCATCCCCCGCCCCCCCCAACTGTATTAGAAGCAACTCAGCTTTAAGGATAGCTGACCATTTTTACAGAAATGCACTGAAGTCGAGGCTTGACTTGAAAAATTTTCAACATGAGTGGTTAAATTTGGCAAGGCCATAACTACCTAACATTTTCTAGTCTATGCTTCTGTTTTCGTTTAACTTAACTGTAGAGGCAACAACTGTGGTCTGTAAAATCTGATCAGTAATTCTGGAGGTAACATGCGGTGAAGTACTAAATATTTGATGTTTCCTGGCACCCCACTGCAAGTGCTGAGGAAGAATTTCAAAATACTTTGTTGGGTGCATCTGATCTGCCTGCCAAAAAGTTAATCCACTGTGCTTTGGAAGCATGCTTGCATGATGGGAGTGCTTGTTCTTGATGCTAATGGCTTCATTGCTGGATTGTAATGTACAATAGATTTAATTTTTTTTTTTTTTTAGCTATTGTGTTATACCTCTCCTTTCTGAATCAACAGAAAAATTTCCAGTTACTAGCTCTCCTCTGCTGTGAATCATGCTAAACAGAAATCATAGGTTGCTGACTCATGGTTTCCTCACATTGCCCTTTGCTACCAGCCAGGAAACACGCATTTCTTCACAGTGCTTGTGTGTGTAGTGTCTGGGGGAAGGGGTTTAGTGACTCTGCATGAGTCAGGTGCCAGGCAATAGAGTTGCATTTATCTGGTAACTGCTCAGCAGTCTTGCTGATTGCAATACTTCTTATTTTTGGCCTTCCCTTGTATGTTGAATATAATTTTCTAAACGCTGTCTTCTTAGGATCCTCCCAAAAGATTTTCTTCTGTTTTTATTTTTTATGTTACTACTTGAGTGCCTTTTGCCCTTATGCAGTTCTGCTAATTTTTTCCCACTCTAGTCAAGTCTTGGTTTATGTGGGTTTCCTGAGTTGGAAAGGAATTTGAAACGTGGAGAGTAACACTAAAGGAAAAGCGTATCTGTCAGCAAAAAGAACTAGGCTGGCTTGTGTTAAGCTTGCGGGTAGGTTTTGCTTTCTTTAGATTTTGCAAGAATGGGATATTGCAAATAGCTTTTTGCCCCCAAAATTGCATTGCAGATGTGTGGGTATTTTTCTCCAAAATATAAGATGTGAAAAGGCTATTTTGACTGTTGCTCTCAGTTGGGCTGCTAACCAGTTTATTTTGGCATCTTTTTTGGTTGTCTTTTGCTTAAGAAAAATATTTTCAGTCTGACTTTTCTTTTGGTAAGAAAATCCAAGGAATATACTTCCTGTTTCTGTTTTTGAAGTATGTCTATGCTGTTGCATTACTCAGCCACTTAATAGGCTAAAGATGTGCATGCTGTAACTTCATCTGAAATTGTACAACCCTGTCAGTTCTTGCTGCTGCTTCTCCTTTTCTGGCCTCATAGTATGGTATTATTGCCTGTATAGTGCCAGACCTTCTTCAGGGTTTCAGCAAAGATTGCACGTGTCTCCACTCTTGCGTGGTTTGTAGCCTGATATTTAAGCAGACTTCTTAAGGAGTACAAGCGGTGAGCTTAGACCTAAATGTCTTGTCTCCCAGGGAAGGGCTCTAGCCAGTAAGGTATTACGCTACAATATACTAAGGATGTCTTGTCCTTCTTTGTCCCTTACCTGCACATCTACAATGAAGGAAGTGACTTGGATGCTTGAAAGTAAGAAGGGATCAGCCTTTCTCGCACAGGGAGAGACCTTGAGGGAGGTGAGATGTTTAGGTGCTTTACAGCCATGTTAGTTGGTCTAGGTAGCTGGTCTAGGACATCCAGTGCTCAGTGTGACTGCTATGGATCTGAGTGCTTCCCACTTAGCTCTCCTCATCTACTTCAGGTGATACATAAAAACTCAAGAAAATCAGATGGAGTTTGAAAGTACCTATCATCAACAGTATATGTTGACATTTCAGTATGTGATCATCAGTAGTTTAATTCAATATAAGAATGTCTTCCCAACCTTGAGAATTTAGCCACCTTTCAGGTATCTTTTTTGGTTGCTTGAATACAAACAGTAGCATCAGTGTTTGCGGTATTGTAACCACATAAGGAGATGGGAATCCTTTGTGGGTGACTGACTCTGTCTTGCTCATGTTCATCCTAATGCTGCCTTGGTTGATGTGATGGTGCTTGTTTTTTAAAAGCAGAATTTCACATTGCATTGCAGAGAATTGTCCTGATCAGAATCCTCGTCTTAAAAACTGGAGCCCTGGAAAAGATCCTGAAAAGAGAGTTTTTATCAAAAAAGGGGATTTGTTTCGTCTGAACTCAGATGCTACAGTACACTCTATAGTTATACAGGATGGAGGTATGAAATGGAAAGATGAACATCATGCATCAGTTTATTGCATAGTTTTTACTTCTGTATTTGCATGAAAAATGTGTTGGAATTTTGTGTTGCAGCTTATTGGCCAGTTCCCCTGCTTTTACTTTTCAGCCTGCTACCAGGCTGGGAATATAATGATACCAGGCTGGGAATATAATTAAAAAGTGAATTAACACACTGTAGAGTTTTTTCAGTGGGGCATTGATGTGGTTTCCTGTAGAATACAGTAAAACAACACTTGTGTAGTAACCTTTCTTGTACAAGATCTGTCTGTCTTTATGGTGACTGTGATATATTAGGAATTCTACCAAAATGACAGAAGAAAATAGGGATAAACTAACCAAATTCTAAGAAAGGTAAATCACAATTGGTAGGAGTTCCTTTCCCAAATATTCTTAAACATATGTAAGAGCATAATGGTTTAATTCATGGGTGTGGAAAATGAATCTGTAATTTTTCTGTTGTTCTTATTGCAGAACTTGGTTCTTTGAATCTGTCTGAATTTTGCTTTGACTTACAGAAATGTTTGGCTTTTTTTTTTTCCTTTAGGGTTACTTGTTTTTGGTGATGATAAAGAAGGCTCTAAAAATATTACCTTGAGAACTCGGTTTATCCTGATAAAGGATGGTGGAATGCTTCATGTTGGAGCAGAGAAATGCCGCTATAAATCCAAAGCAACTATTATTTTGTATGGGAAGTCAAATGAAGGTGCTGATGTGCCAGAATTTGGCAAAAAATTTATTGGCGTGGGCCCTGAAGGAACACTGGAGTTGCATGGGCACCAGAAGTTATCATGGACTCTTCTGTCAAAGACTATGTATTTCTCAGGGCTGGCCTATGGTCATTATACATTTAAAAAGAATTTTTCCCGAGGACTAAATGTGAGAGTAATTGATCAGGACACGGCAGAGGTTTTGGAAGTGCTGAAGTTTGATACTCATGAATTTTCAGAAGAAAGCTTGAAGCTCCAGAACTTACTGAAAAAAGGAAGTCCTGGTCGCATTGTTGCTATTGCTGTAGGAGATTCAGCTGCTAAAAATCTATTGGAGGAAACCAGAGTGACTATTCAAAATCTTCTGGGAAGCAAATTTGTTAGAGGGTTGAGTTACAGGTAAATAATTTGTCTTCAGTTTTGGGTGGAGTAAGGATTAGATACAGATTCTGCTGCCTTTGGGGGATTTGTTAAACTTTAACAGTGTCGGTTCTTAGTTTTCAGAGGATTCTCCGTGTTGTATGTAGTACTGCAGCAGCAGAATTCAGTGTGCAGTATTTTGATAGTGCAGGGACTGATAGTTACAGGTATCTGTGCTGTAGACTTTATTACATGTTTATAATTGCTCTCTTTCACTCTTCTTTACATAGATTAAAACTGTGTGCAGCGAGGAATATTTTCTCTTTCAAACCTCCAGGTAGAAGACTGTTGCTAGGCAAAGCTTTTAGTGCAAATTACTGTATGCTTGGAGGAGCAGGGAATGCCAAGTTAGAATCTGAGTACAGGGAAGGGATGCTAATCCTGTAATAAAACAGCGTGTTTTTTGTACCTGTGTGCTGTTGATATGAAAGTACATTACCCTTCTGCTGATTCTGCAAGGGAACTGATCTGTAAAAATATTTTGTTATTGAACTATACTTCTGAAGTGGTTTTGTATCTTTTGATTGTTCTTTTCAGTTGGTCAAGGTTTGGATGGTGGGACAGTAGAAGAGGTGTAGCAGGAATTATTAAAGCAGGAAACTTAAAGTGCTGTGCCGTTCATTTAGTTGTTACAAATGACTTTTTGCATTGCATATTTTGAACTTGGCTTTGTGCTGCACAGGGTTAGCAGTACAAGTGAAAGGACATCAAGTCTCCTAACTAACTGTCAGTCCATTCTCCAGCTTCCAGTAAGATGGTGGTGTGTAACCTGTTTCTGTTTTCCAATATTTTCCAAGAAATTGGTCCTGTAGTTTTCCATTCTATTCTTACCCCCCACTGTCCCCGAAAATCTGGATTCTGGTTAGTTTCCTCCCTCTGCTTTGGCAGAGGTGGGCTGGGGCGTCAGTCAGGATGGCACGTTCTGACCTCGGCTCCTGTCAGGAGCATGTTTGTGTCAGTGGCTGTGTAGGCATGTGCTCATGGGGTGGAAAGTGCTTGCAGCACTGCGCCTAAAGCAGTTAGGTCGGAGGTGCTGGAACCTGCATGTCCTGTAATAAGTACCACCTCCTGAAAGCACTGAAGCCTGCATGACAGTTGTTGAGGTCGCTGTGCAGCCATCCCCAACCTGGCCTGGAGGTGTGGGTTTCCGATGTTCGTCTCTGCCCCTGACTTCCACGCTGGTTTGTCTGAAGTGAGGAACTTCTTCAACCTGCAGCTGAGAAGCAGCCTGTCTTCCTTCTCTGCTAAACTGATTCCTGCCTGTTTTCACTAGTCAGGAGAGGCTCTGTAAGAACATAAAATTGTCTTGTTCTGCTGTGAAAGGTAGGTAAAAAGCACTCCTCGAGTGCTCACTGAGGCAAAGCAGGTTTGTTTTATTAAACCTGTAAAGCTACTGAAGGAGCTTCTGGCATGGAGGCAAATATCCCGTTACATCTCTGTCCTCTTCTGCCTTTTCCTGCAAAATAGCATGTATTAAAATATCTTGGTATTTATTTTAAGTACTGGTATGTGAAACGTTCAGCTTGTTTGCTGCTGATACTGGAAAGCTGGCCTAGTATGTACTGTTCCTATGAATGTGTTAACACTAAACAGTTTAATGTGGCCTTTTGATCCCAATCAGTAAGAACATCATGAGGAGACTGAAATAAAGTCAGCTGGATTGAAAGTCGTTTTAGTATCTGCTTTGGAATCAATCATTACCAATAGACTACAGTCCAGCTAGCTGTCACTGTTTTCATTTGGGGTGAATGATTCAACTTTAATGATGCAAAATTGTTCAGCTTTTTAATAGATGAACTTTACTGCTTCCTCTACATGCGTGACTGTGTCCTGGATTGGTCTGGAACAGTTAACTTTCTTCATAGTAGCTGGTAAGAGGCTGCGTTTTGGATTTGTGCTGAGAAGGCGGCTGATAACACACTGATGTTTACAGTTGCTGCCAGGACAGTCAAGGGCTTCTCAGCTTCTCTGCTGTGCCAGTGTCTGCAGGTACAGGAGGAGCTGGGAGGGAGCACAGCCCCAGTTACTAACCTAGGATTCAACTCTAGGTTTAGGATTGAGACCCAAATTGGGCAATGGTGTATTTCATATCATGCACATCATGCTCTTTATAGAGATGAGGCTTGGTCCAGAAGTTCTCTCTCACTCTGTGTCGGCTCTCTTTCTCTGGGACAGCTTTTTCTCAGGGTCACCTCGCTCTCTTGGTTGGCCCTCACTCTCACTCAGGCTTTTATCAGTTTTCTGGGAATTGTGGTTTTGGGACTCTCCCTGCTCTGTGCTCGTTAGCTGGGAATGGGCTGGGCCTTGATCATCGGGTGGTGAGCAGTATCACTGTGTATCACTCATTTGTGTATTGGTATATATTACTATTATTACTATCATTACTATCATTATTCTTTTCATTTTTGTTGTACTTTAGTTATTAAATTGTTCTTATCTCAACCCTCAAGTCCTTTTTCCCTTTGCCCCTTTAATTCCCTGCCCCATGCCCAGGGTGGGGGAGGGTGGGTGAGCGAGCAAGTGGCTGTGTGGTGTTTGCCACTGGCTGGGTTTAAAACCACAACATCATGGCATTACAGAGCAGTAAAGGACAGCAAAATAGTCTTATGTTTTTAACTTGGGGGCAGCTGTCAGTGGCGTGTGGTTTGTTTTTAATTTCCAAAAACTTGGATACATTGAGCAGAGCTGTTGGAAGGGGACATACATCCAGGATAGTTCCCTGCTCCACACCGATGCTCAGCTAAGTAGGTGTCTAGTTGAGGGAAGGGCCAGCGAGGGGGAAAAGCAAAAATTCTTGGTCTCAGCCTTCAGAAACATCTGTGATCCCTCGTGCAGGGGTTGTATAACAGTATGCAGTTCCTTTCCTGGGTGTGAGCATCTTGAAAGATTCAAAAGGCATGCCTGCCCAGTATGGTGATTGCCAGCAGCCCCTGTTGGCTGTGTCCATCCCTCCTGGCCTGATGAACACAGGGTCCCCCCGGACTGCTGGCTGCTGCTCTGGGACACCACGTACTGCAGCACCGTGATGGCAGCAGGCTGCGGCAGGAACGTCAGCACTGGCTGGCAGTCTTCTGTGCCCCAGTAAAGCTGTTTGGGAGTAGGATCCTGTATTGCTCTGTCGGTCATCTCTTGCGATATGCTTTTGGGAAAAGTGTATCTTGTTGGATGTTGTACTAAAACTGTATTTGAAAGTCCTCTTCATTAAGAGCTCTTGTATTTGACAATTTGTATATGGGACATCCAGTTATTTTAAAAACTATGTTTCTTTTCAATGAGGTCTGCCTATTTTTCTTCAGCATTTTGAAGTTGCATTTAAAATTAATGTGGAAGAGCAGGCAAAAAGATTATTTATGACTTCTGTGCTCCTTGTTTTGTCCTTTACCTGTTTGTGAAGAATTTGTTAAGTACTATTATACTTAAACATTACTTTTGTTTTCCACAGGCAAGCCTGGGCTTTTGTTGGTGTCATAGGTGGTGGAAATTCTTCTTGTAATGAATCAGTGAGAAACTATGAAAATCATAGCACTGGTGGGAAGGCACTTGCTCAGAAAGAGTTTTTCACAGTGGATGGTCAGAAGTTTGTTGTGAGAGCCTACAGCGAGTGGAATGATGGTAGGAAAGCATTTTGTGAAATCCTCCAGTTAGGAAAGAACTAAAAAATTTTGTATATGCTTTTTTTGCTAGAACTGTTGGTTGCAATTTAAATTTCTGAATGCTGCTGTAAATGTTTTGGGTTTTTTTTTTCTTGATATGAATGAGGTATGAGGACACAGTTCTCCAGTACAACCTATTTTCTTAATCTATTTGCATACACTATATGAACAGCATAACATTGTCTTCATTTTTAATATATTTAGAGATAAGGGGTCCTTATAAAAGGCTGAAACTGACGTTTTTTTCTTTTCTTCTAGTAATTTGTCAGTCATGTATATTTTAAGTCTAAGCTTCTGAGATGGTGATTGTGATCCTATAAAGAAAATTCGGTAGAAGTCAAGAGAAATATTTTATTCTTGTTATAGTCTTCTGTTGCTGTTTGATGCTAAACTTTAGGCAACTTTTATCATACCAAGTGGAATCTGTGGTGTTCAAGAGCCTGGAAAGCCTAGCACTCATTTGCTTTTATCCTTTATTCATTTTAATATTTAATATACCCTTGATCTGAGTTTTGCTTTTTATGGGCTGTCATCTTTTCTGTTTGCAGAATTACTAAGCAATATTGCATTTGCTTCAAGAATTCTTTAAGGTAGTCAGATAGTTATTAGTTAAGTAATTGAGCTATTTGATACTACTGCTTTGCTGTTCATTACAGCCCTGTGAAAATGTATAGACTTATATTTAAAAAACAAACCCCACCAAAATACATCTTTACTTGCTAGTACTGTAGAGCTAGGTTCAAGAGTAAGCAAGACTTGCAAATCCATCACAAGGCACTTGTGTATGAAATTTTGTCAGTCATACTGTACTGTTTTATTAGTTGTGAATAAGAAGGAAAATCCCCCTATTTTGTTTTGCTAGGTCCTTTGTTACATCTGGAGAGTTTTAAATGGCAGAAAAATGTCATTTGAAACAAGTGGAGGTAATTGGACCTACAAACTTCTGCTGTATGGTATTAGGGTTTGGGGTTTTTTTAAATTCATAGATTTTTCCTGTCACTGTTAGTTCCATCTTTTCCTTTTATTTTATTTGAGATCCACCAAATAAGTAGGCTGTAATAGTATCTCACACTGGCAGGTTTCAGAGCATAATTATACATCAAAGGGCTTTGGAGCTTGTGAAATCTCATACATTTTTTTCTTAGTATCTTCTTGGAGATGGTTTCATATAAAGGTGAATATAATCTTATATTGTGTTTACTTTTTTTTTTTTTTAAATTAGGTGTCCCAACTTCAGGCTTCCAGGTAGAAGCTGTAGGTGGAGTGATACTGAATCTTCTGGATGATGTTAGTAGTTGGGAGCCTGGAGACCAGATCGTGGTCGCAAGCACAGACTATTCAATGTATCAGACAGAGGAGTTCACCCTCCTTCCCTGCCCAGAGTGTACCAAGCATCAGGTCAAAGTCAAAGGTATGAGAGCAGTCATCACTTGGAGCTTCATGTGAAATACATATTCACAGTGGTACAGCTCAGACGGTCCCTTTCAGCTGGTGCGGTAAAGAACAGCCTGTTCACCTATCTCTGTTTTGCTTTGTTGCTGATTGCAGTAATGTATACTTATCCTTGCTATAAAATTGCTTTGTATAGTGTCGGGTCTGCCTTACAGCTTACCTTACTAACTTCTATTTCTCCTTTCTTCCCGGGCTCATTGAGTATTTTAGTTTTCTTCCAAGAGGATTATGCTCATTTTCCTTTCTTTGCTCCTTTCTTTTTTTCTCACTAGTTCTTTTTATATGTGTTTGAATGGCTGTTTTGGTCATTACCATTTCCTTTGCTTTTAGTTCCTTTCCCATCTTTTGAAGTGTTACCATTATAATTTTTTCTGTTGTTATGAAAAAAGGAGAAAGGAAAAGAAAAAGAAAAAGAGAAAATGGCAATCTTTGAACCTGTCTCTAGTTTTTTCTTTTTTTTTCTTTTTTTTTTTTTTTTTTTTTTTTTTCTTTTCCTCAGTTCACCCTCCACCAGTAAAATGGTTATGGAATAAGTGGCACTTCCAAGCCTCTGCTTACACAGGATGTCCCTGACTAGTTGCAATCTGTTTTTCCTTTGGGCGTGATGCACACAAAATAGTCATGCGTGTTGTTGACCATTTCCGTTTTTATTATCTGAGTCACTCTGCTTGACTTCACAAGAGCCTCCCGTGGGACTGGCTCCCCAGCTCTGCTGGCGTCTGTGTTTTCCTTCTGCCGCCCTGTGCCCGCTCCATGCCAGCACCCTCCTTCCTGGCCATCCACCAGTCTCGGGTCTGGAGCTTCCCCTCCAGCTCCCTTCTGGTGGGCTGCAGCGTCAGCCTGCAGCACAAAATAACTGGTGTTAATTGTTCACAGCAGTTCATTGGTGCTTTTCAGGATCTGGTTGTGTCCTGTTCACCTCTGTATGGTGTGGCTTCCTCTTCTTCAAACCTCTGTTCTCGGAAGTTTTCTGTGAACGCCCTCAAACTTTCCTGTTCACCTGTGTCTGAAGGGATTGCCTCAGACTGCCAGTTCGTACGTCCGCTTTGCAGTGCAGTTTGCATCCCACAGCATTCATTTAGCACGGGTCAGATATGTTTTACTGCATTGTGAAGTCCCACACATAGAAGAAGCATATCTAAGTTCACCTTGCTATGCATCAGGAAATACCAGGGTGCATGAAGCCACAGAGCTGACTTAGTGCCATTGAACATGGCACTTCTGGTCTTTGTGGGTATGACTGAGCACAGTGTTTTAAAGAGCAAGCTCAACTTGAAGTTTGCAGTATGAAGTTTAAGAAGGTTTTCATCACCACTGAACAGAGTATGTGCAAACTCTGCTTCATCTCAGAAATCATGTACTGTGAAAATGCAGCTTCTTTTAAAGGATTTTTTAAAAAATTAGCAAGATTTACAATATGGCATAAAATACAAAATCTTGGCTTTTTTTTTTTTTTTTTTTTGAAAATAAATGCTATCGGAACTGTATATAGATCTTTAAAAGATGTTAAAGGAAATGAACAGGCCCATCTCGGTTTGTTTATTTTTTTTTTCACCCCTAGTATCAAGTTTCCTTCGTTATAGTAACAGATACTGTTTAAAGAATCCCCAAACCACCCTGTATATTTGTTGCACTAAGAATAAATTTTCTGTGTAATGGCAAACTTGACATGCTGAAGAACTCATGATCTTTTGAAATTATTAATTGTATTTTTTGCTATGTTTTTAGCTATTTTGGCCCCTTTTGTAGTAGGAAAGCTAAAAAGGGCTCTTTTGTAGGAGGCCTAGTTGCTCTGTCTTCTTTTGATTTATGTATGCTGGCCAAATATAAGGAAAAACAATAGGTAAGCCTTCAAGGAGAGGAGTGCAGTCCTACTTACAGAGATCTATTGTCTTTTTAAATCCTCAACAGCAGGTACAGAATTAACACCACTCTTGGTTCTGCTTCATATTGTGGTAATGACCAGTTTAGTCTTGTATCCATTTGTAAGCTTTGAAGGGATAGTGACAGTCTGTGAATCAATAAATGGGAGGAAAACCCCCCAAAAACCACAACCCAAGAGGAAGGAAATATTTTTTTAAAAGTAAATACATAAGTACATTTTCTAAGGCTCACAGGGCCAGATAATTTTCTCCATTTGTCTAGACAAATAAGAAATTGGTTGTTTCTTTGTAAGAACAGTGTAAATCCAGAGTATCTTGTTTTCCCTGATTTTAGTTTGTGTCCTCAGAATAGCTATCTGGAAAAGAGCAATTTTAGTGGGGAAAGCAAATCCTTTTTTCTTTGGAACAGATTAGGCAGCCAGCATCTTTTTTTTTTTTTTTTTTCCTTTTAAAGCAAATCTGCGTCTATGTTTCATTAAAAGTTTTCTAGATACATTGGATTAATTTAAATTTGTCTTTGTTTTTGTCCATTCTGTTCACAAACTATTGGACTGAAATTAAGATGCACTTGCAAATAAAATGTTGGGATTTGTTTAGGATTAGTTGTCTTAAAATGAAAAATACATAAGAGAGCACTTTGTTCTGGAAGGAAACATTGATTTATCATCTTGCAAGATACTTAACTATCATTGAGTCAACTGCAGTCTTGAAGGGGGGAATTCGCTTAGTGTTAGCTGGGTTATTGTTTATCATCTAACAATTGTGTGCTTTTTGTGTGCCTTAACATAAGAATAGCTAAGAGAGAACAGCATGTTAAGGTATCAGAATGGGTGGGGTTTTTTGCTACAATTAGCTTGTTTATATGAAATAAGTTGGGGTTTTTTTTAATCAATGATAACTCTTTTTTTTTTCATTTTTTTTCTTTTTCAAAACTGTTTTTGGACAGAAAATCCTCAGTTTCCTCATGTAGGAGAAGTTATTGATGGAGTGGACATGAGGGCAGAAGTCGGAGTTCTTACGAGGAACATCTTAATCATGGGAGAGACAGAAAATACCTGCTATCGTGAAAAGGAATGTCAGTTCTTCAATTACGATACATTTGGTGGACATATCAAGGTTGGAAAAACATTTTAAAGTAGCTTTTTTTCATGAAAAGTCATATTTAGGACAAAAAGATTAATGCTAAACTTGGAGGGATTTGGAAACTTAAAGAATGTCAATTCATACAGTTGCTTTGCATAGAAATTACTTTGTTCTCAGCTTTCCCAAAATTTTATTTAGCTCATCAAGACTTAATCTGTGGAATTAGAGGAAGGGATATCAATGCATGAAATGTTGTAGAAGTATCCAGCGTATATTGCGATGTTGTGTGGCAGGGATTAAGCCTTACAAGTGACATCCATGCATGTGCATCCTGTAATGTTACAGAGCAAAGTTTGTTCTCCCTTTTCTCTGTCTTTCCTCCTTTCACTTCCTTTCTCCCTCCCCAAGTGACAAGCATTGAATCCTAGAGATTTGCCTCATGTGAAGTTGGGCACTAGAGAGGCATGAAGAGGAAAGAAACTGAGCTGGACCTTGGTGTTTTTTTTATTTAATTTTTTAAACAATTGAAAGTACTGAGGTTATGTAAAGGAAAGTGCTTCTAATTTATCATATTACCATAAACAAAAAGAAAGCTGAGGGAAAGTAGTGTTAGAAAAACTAATATTTAAACTCTTATTCACTTAAGTTTTTAGATGAAAGGATTGAGCAGCAGTGTATCAGTTCTTCACAGACACTAAAGAAGTTTGAAGCCTTGTGTTTTCAATGCAAATGTATTTGTGCTCATTATGTGCTGGTCACAGTTTAAATCTCTCTTTCCAATATATTTTGATGCAGATTTTAATTTTATAGTGGTGGACATAATGGTGGGAAAGAAAATTCCCTACTGTGTGGCAGCTTTTGTTTTGTGGAAGAGAAGTAGGTGGGCTTGAGGCACTCTTTTGTGTTTAAGATAATGTAATGAAAGAAGATAATGAAGATAATAAGCTGTGAATCTTGCAAAGCGTGATCTTGATTTCTACAAAAGCCCAAATACAGCAGACCCTTCAGATGTCTGGAAGATAGAACAGAAAACAAACATTTTGATCGATCAAAGTTGTTAAACTGTTCATGGGAGACTGTTCAGAGTAGCTGAGTGTCTGCTGCCAGACCTAGACTTCAGCACTAAAAGCATTCTCGGCTTATGTTAATCTTGCATACTGAAGCAGAGGGATCCTAGACACTAGCAAATGTTAATGGCCTCCTGGGTATCAATCATCCCGGATTTGCTAGCAGCAGTGAGTAGAGGAATTGGTTTGTAGTTTTACAACTGCATTAGTGCTTCTAGGTGTTAAGAGTTGTAAATCTCAGGGATGCCTGGTTTTGACCATCCCTCTGCGTTTTAGGTGTACAAACCTTAGGAATGCAATTTCCCTAGAGGACAAAATACATATGAAAATGGTTATTTTTGATAAATAACCAGTATGGGTAAGTTTGTGAAATAACAAAAAAGGTATTTTTTCTCAGCTTAGCTCCTTGCAGTTTGACTGTTGCACTTGGTTTCTGTTTTCACAGCAGGCTGGGTGGAAGAAAATACTTTTGCTTTCCTGTGTAACTGGTACAGTTACATTATGTTTTTACTTTGTACTAGGTAGTGTTACTATGAAGTAATACCATTCTGAAGGCAATTTCTTGTCTTCCTTAGTAAGGAAGTTCCTCTGGAGTGCTGTGTCCAGTTTTGGGTTCCCATTGCAAAGAAGATGTAGATGCATGGGGGTGCGTCCAGTGAAGGTGGTGTGTGGGAGTACGTGATGAGGAGTGAGGAGGAGCTGAGAGAACAAGGCTTTTTTTGGTGTGAGGAAGGCGGAGATGACTGATCTCATTCTGTCTTCAGGCACTAGGGAAGGTTGAGAGAGGCCAGAGCAATTCTTGGAGGTGCACAGTGATAGGACAAGAGGCAATAGGACCAAGCTTCAATATGTCAAATTCTGCTTAGATACCAGGAAAATGAAAGGGAAGAGACAATTGACAACATATGAGCACCTCCATGGCTGGAGTTTTCCCTTGGGAAATTCACTGCACGGCTGTCTTTAAGCTGATCCTGTGCTGAGCTAGTGATTTGACCAAGCATCCCAAAAGGCTCCTTTGAATCTCTGTTATTCTGTGATTTTATTCAACTAAGCCTGTCCCAGGTGGGCTACACTGGTACAGCTTCAGTATAGACTGATGTGAGTGACTTCTGTTTGGACAGTACGCAGTTATACAAAAAGAATATTTAAAGTGAAAGACCAAACAGTAAAGTGTGGCAACATGGTCTGGTGAAAATTGCTCTGTTTTAGCCACATGGAGGTTTAGCTTTTACACTTACTTACGAAGGACACTGTCTTATAAGGCAGGATATAGAGCAAGACAGCAGCGGTTGTTCTAACTTTTGTTGTGTTGGCCTGTGATAACTGTGTATGTCTAACTTCTGTACATCTGGTATAGATGATGTATTAACTTAAATTTCCATTGGTTAAAAACCACATAGCTGGTTATTCATTCCGGACTTCTCATTATATTTTTAGATTTTTAAGAATTTTACATCTGTTCATCTCTCTTATGTGGAATTGAAGCAAATGGGCCAGCAGCAGATTGGAAGTTATCCTGTTCACTTTCACCTTTGTGGGGATGTGGATGAAAAAGGAGGTTATAGTTTTAAGACTTACCTGGAAGGTCTTTCCATTCATCACTGTTTTTCCAGATGTGTGACTGTTCATGCAACTAATGGCTTGCTGGTAGGTGCAACAAGAATAAAACTGTGTTTATAAATGTAGAAAAGGGCATTTAGAGCAAAAACCTCCCTTCTTTGAGTTTAATGGTCAGCAATTGGTTTTAGTAGCAACGAATAAATGAACAAGTGCAAACAGTAACTGATTTTTAACAGTTCTCACCATTCTGTTTTTTCTTCCAGGCAGCTGAGCTCTCCAGCTCTGTAGTGTGTTTGTAAGGGATAAATAAAACTGTATGCTTGAATCATCTCAACTGCTGATACTGAAGCTTCACTCTGCAGCTGTGCCAAGATAGTAAAACTAAATGGCACTTGTCAAATAAATCTCAGTAAATCCTATTGCTACTGACATAATGAACTTGTATTTCTGCAGATAAAGGACACCATTGGCTATGACACACTAGGTCACTGTTTCTTCACAGAAGATGGCATTGAGCAGAGGAATACTTTCTTCCACAACCTTGGGCTAGTCACAAAACCAGGCACTCTTCTTCCTACAGATAGAAACAGCAGCATGTGTATTGGTATTAGGGATAAAGTGTATGGAAGTTATGTCCCAGTGCCAGCCACAGACTGCATGTGAGTATTTCACAGTAAAAAAGTAAAACCAAACCAGCTGCAGCAGTTAAACTGCTGATGATCTCTTGACAATATACAGATAGGAACATTTTAGTGTGTAATTTAACGAATGCACACACCTTAAATGTAGTTCACATTGTAGTGGTATTTAAAGAAATAAGAGTATAGTCGTCTTTTATTAAAGAGGAAAAAAACCCGTTGTTTTGTAGGAAGATTGTTTCTTGCAGTACTTGTTCAATAGACTTTTAAGGCCACATCTCTACTTCTGCGTAAAGGCATGCGCATTCTCAAGTTGTCAGCAGTAGTTTTCCTGCGTACCACTAATCGCTTGTAGAACCTTATTAAAACAGTTTATCGTTGCACGGAGTATCTGAACACCATTAAATAAAACACTGTGCATTGCACCAAAGAAAGAAGCATTTTTCACTTCTAAATGGGGGGGGGGTGTGATTCTTGTTTCATAGGTGAAGCAGTGAGTTCAGACATCAGTTTAGCTTTTTCTGATGTGCTTGTTACAAAGGGGAGATACTTCTGTAGGAGCTAGAGCTTTTCTATAATAACTTCTTTCTGTATAATATTTCAGGGCAGTTTCAACATTCTGGATTTCTCATCCCAACAATCATCTTATAAATAATGCAGCAGCCGGTTCACAGGTGAGGCATATGGATGTAATTCAACACCAACTTTTTAAAAATATATGAATATGTTTTATGTTTGGCAACATATTGACATTACAAGTAGAGGGTTTGTATAGATTTTGTGTTTAAGAGATGGCAAAAGTCTTTGTTCTGGCTGGAACAGAAGAGATCTCTTCCTCCTTGTAGTTAATAGACCTGACAATAATGTCAATGTGTGTATGTAGAAATAAATAATTTTATTTCCAACAAACTAGTGCATTTCATATTAAGGCTTATGTAATTTCTGTAGGTTGTCATGAGTTTAATCTGTGACTGCTCTGCAAGGCTTGTCTTCATAGCTGTAGTCATTGGAATGAAAAATTACTAACAAAAAAATATTAATTGTGTAAGAAACAGCTGAAACACTTACTGTCAGTCGTTAGTCATTTGTTTCCTGTCAGTAACTGCTGATACGTTTTTACTTGTGTTGAACCTTATATTAGTGCAAATTTCTTGTCACAGCTGCTTGCAAAGTAAAGCTGAACTACTCAGTCTGTGTTGTAGTGGGGGTTGCTGGAGTCTGTTCTGTGTTGGATGGGAGGCTGAGATGTGCATGGTTTTGAGTGGATTTTTCTGAAGAGATCAATGGAAATGGGAAACAGGAAAGATATTTGCTATTGCAAAGACTCCAGTGCTGGAAGTAGAATATGAGTGTTGGTGTATTCTTAGGCACAAAATACATAATAGACTGTTATTAAAAGAACAAGATTCAAAATATTTAAATGAGTTGAATAGCTAGAGTATAAAAAAATTCAGAAAGTTTTGTCCTGCTTTTTGTGTGGTCAGGCTTTTTTTGTTGGGGTTGGTTCATTTATTTTGGACAAACTTTTCTAGTTGACTGTCTACCAGAAGGAAGGATCAGAACATGCTTATTGAGTCAAACCAATTCTTCTCTTCCCAATGCAATGTCTTTCCATTTTGCCTGCTTCGTGTAATATTCCTTTACCTTGTTTTAGCATTGCAGGCTAAGTCAAAGGAAACAGCTTCCTTGATCTGGTGCTTCAAACCTGCAAGATCTTTTTCTGCCTCTGTAGTGTGTCCCAGTAGATGTCACTTCCTTTTGTTACCAGAATGTGTGTGGTCACAGCAAGCATTTGTGTATGTTACCAAGTTTTGCCACTCTGGTATACCTCACTTGCATGGATGTAAGCACATAAAGGGACTATACCTTATTATGTTTTAGAAACAGAATACTGTTTTGATACAAACTCTGTACTGTAGAGCTTTTGCTGGTATAAACTATAACAATTCACAAGCAAACAACATAATTCCATTACCACCCCCCCCACCCCAGCTCTTTCGTTACACAATGAAGCCTATTGTAAGGGTGTATCAGCCATAAATGTTTCTTTTGTTTGAGCTGTAGATGAGAGAGGGGGAGAAAAAACTTTTTCATTTTTTTGAACACTTACAAGTGCTTAAGGAGCTTTTAAATTTATTAAACTTTTTTCTAAGCGTAAGGATGTGTTTTGGATAAAAATCAGTTGAGTCTGCCAAGCACAGAGCTGCATTTAATTATACGTGAAGTAAAATTTTGGTATTTTTGTTAATGGAACATCCACATTTGCTTTGGAATTGTTAATCACCAGAAATGTCAAAGTGTCGTCATTATGGATGGGGATATGTTACCGAGAATCAAAATTTTCAGGACTGTTTGGAAAATTAGTATATTCTCAGAGTGAAATGCATGAAATCTTTTAAGCTGGAGTGAGTTGGCTTTATCCACGTTTCTTGAACAGGAGGATGATGACTATTTTTCATGAGATGAAGCACTTAGTATGCAGTGTTTCTTTAGCTACTGTTTAACCCGTTAATACACCTTATGCAATGATTTTTTTTTTTCCATTTTATAAGGGCACAGACCATGTGGTCAGGCAAAATTTTCATGTTTGTAGGTATCTGCTATGCAGGTGCTGTCATGCTGCCACCTCTTGTGAACCCAGATGTGGCTGAAAGGGGAACTTGTATGGGTCTCATTTAGCAGATACATCCAGCTTCTTTAAGAGCAGGGATGTTGAAGAAGTGGAGAAAATGAACAGATGCTGAAATTATTACTGCATCTTATTGGCACAGTGCTCTGAACTGGCTGGACTTCTTGATGTGTTTTTTTTCCCCTTCTTCTGAAAGCTCTTGTGGGTTTTTTGGCTGTGTCATTAAATTGTGATGTGAGCAGAGATGAACAAACCTTAGTCAGACTGTAACAGTAAGGAGGAAGGTCGGGGCTTTGAGTGTTTTACTGTAAATGGTATGATTTACTAGTAAAAAAAAGGAAAATCAAGTGTTTGTGATGAAATATAACTGAAATGCAAAAATTATATTAACTCTGACACTTTTCTTGTTTGAAATTTTGGAGGATGTTAAATGTGTGGTGTTACATTCATTGAGAAGCAAAACACTTTTTAGAGCATATTATTCACTAGAATATAGCCTTATTTGCAAACCTCTGCTTTCTCACTGGGCAGTTGTTTGGAGACTATTTTGAAAAATATATTCCACTGTGCACAGCTGATATGAGTTCACCTCATTAAAATAAGTACACTTATTTTGTGATTAGATACATCAGCACTGATAGTAGTATCAGACTTACTTGTAAGTAATGTAATTCTCTCCTTACTTGCAGGATGCTGGAATTTGGTATTTGTTCCACAGGGTTGCTACAGGAGATTCTCATAGTTTAGCCATTGAAACCAAGTCAGAGCTTACACCCCTAGGAATCTTCTATAACAACAGGGTTCATTCTAATTTTAAGGTAATGTATTCTCTCATTAAAAAAAAAATGAAGTTCTTTATTTGTAACGGTTCTATATTAGGACTTGTCTGTTTGTATTTCAAGCTGGTCATGTGATATATTCATGCTGTGTTTGAACTGCATGATTCTGTCTAGGTATTGTAGAACGCTGTGGAATCAGCATGTGTATAGTTTCTTGCCACATTTCAAATATTCACTGTGTTTAATATCCTCGTAAGGCACAAACAACTAAAATCCATTAATACTGCTAATGAAATACATTTTCTCAGAAGTAACATTTCAGATGCTCTTCTTTTACTGATGGCACTGTTTTCTGCTCTGAAGAAAGCTGACCCTTGAAGCATCAAAGTTTATTACAGTTTTGATTAATCTCATAGCTTCCTGGAATAGTTTTTCTATTTCCTATTTTTTCTGGTTTTCCTGAGCGTCCAGTGTACAGTAGCTCAGGTGTTTGCATGTGGTGGCACAGTCTCTGATGAGAGATTAAGCTTCCAGGTTGCCTTCAGGAGCTCAGCCATTGGCAACAGTTTTTTGTTAGACAGTTCTCAGCCTAGGTACAGGCATTCAGTAATACTTTATTAATGTGATTTTAATATATTTTCCACATTCACCTAACTGATGAGTCCTTAAATTAATTATTTCATTTGGAATCTAGCTGCTCTGTGTGTGTATGTCTGTGTAAATGGGTGGGTGTGTATATATATATGTATATATGTCTCTGACATTTACAAAGCTACCTAAAGTTAAATATTTATTTGTGTTTGAAGTTTACTTCAAAAAGTTCAGAATTGCTACTGGAGTTTTTTTTACCAAGTGAAACTGATTTTACTTGACAGTTGGGCACCTTGGATACCAATAAATGATGCACTGTTTTATAGAAGTTATGTTAAAGGTGTGTTTGGGATTGTTGGGTGTTTGTTCAGACAGAGATTAAAATATACTGGATACAAAAGTGCATTGTAAAGATAAAACTGTTTCAGCTGTATGACTCATATTATCTTTAAACAAGGGTAGCAGTTTGTGTGCTAAAATTCCGTGTTAAAAGAGCAAACTCCACTAGCAGGTCTGGGGATCTACTCGTATAGGAGCACTCAGTTGTAATCATAATTATAATTTGGATCAGAGGTGAAAGTACTTACAGGTTTATGTATATGTAATTCAAATTAAATAACACAGATGTTTCCTTCTGCTTCTATTTTCTCAAGAAAATTATTTCATACTGGATTATTGAGTTTCAACTTGATGATTGCTTTGGAAAAAAACAGCTTCAGTGGTGAAGGTAGTTTAGCTTTAAAGTGAAATAGAAAGCATTTTTCACAGTGCTATTTTTTATTTTTTCCATTTGTGAGAATATTTTGAATTCACCACAAGACTGGCTTCCAGATTTTCCAGAACAGCATCTGGAAATAAGTGTAAAACCTCAAATAGTTAGATGTTGTGAAAGAAATCTGAAATGAACTTTAATGATTTTCCATTACTTTTTTTTTAATCCCAGGCAATTCTTTTCCTCTGCCCAAGTTCGCACAGACAGATGCTCTTTTTCCCTTTGACAACATGTCAGTTAAGGGCAAACTGCAAAATCTAGGGGTTTCTAATACACGTATTGAAAGCAATGTAAAGTTGAAATTTTAGAAATTTAATGTTTATTCTACCTTTAGTTTTGGATGGTATGAATTTTCTTTCTTTGCTTGTTTCAGGCTGGTTTGTTCATTGATAAGGGTGTTAAAACAACTAATGCTAGTGCTGATGATCCCAGAGAATATCTTTGTTTGGACAACAATGCAAGGTAAAGGATGTTGTCTTTCATGGTAGTGAAAAATGGCAAAGTTCTGAGATTGCTTTTACATTCATGTGAGGAGAATATTTTTAAAACAATGTAATTACTTATAAATAATAACCAAACAATAAGTTGATATATGTTCTTTTCGCTCATTTGTTCGGAACAGCAGAGCATGGTGTGCCTTAATGGAGTTAACTGTTTCTTCTGAGCCCTTGTTCACGGTAGTTTTCAGTCTCTTAGAAGACATTTTTTTAAACATGCTCTACTGTCATGCTTAAAGTATTTTCTAGAATTGCTGTTAAAAGTAAAGTCTTACTTTAAGATCTGCTCTTCTGATTTATGACTCAGTTTTAAACAATTGTTAGAAAAAGGCTTAATAGAGGCAGGTAATACATCCATTTGCCTTTCCTGCTGCTGGATGCTTCCCGCTGTACCTTCCCAAACTTTGAGGTCATAGCTCAGTAGTACAGTTTTACTGAAGGCTATTTGCAGAGATAGTACTATCAACCAGAGTTTACAAACTGTGAGAAAAATAATGGAGAGTTTAGGAAAATTCAAGGTTATACTGTGCCTGGTTAGTCTTGTCCTGAACTTCAAATAAAATAGCCTGGGATAGTAGTCAAATGACAATACTGGACAGCTGTATCCATCAACATTTTACTGTGACAACTAAGCATTAAGACTGAAAATATAGTTCATAAGATTATCTTTATTTTTAATTGGCATGTGTTTAAGATGAGGATAGTTAAATGATGGTTACAGATGCAGAGAGGGAGGTTCCCAATTTTGGTGATACTCAATACTTCATGATTTGGAAATTAACTTGCTAGTTTGAAGTTTTGACAGAAAGCCCATATAACTCTTGTGGATTGCCTCAGTCATAACAGGTAGTCAAGGGGAACAAAATGCCCTGTGAGAACTTGTAGTGTGTTGACAGGGCATCAACGGAGGATGTGAGAAACTCAGTACATGAGATGGGGTTCATGTTTCACAGCAGCCGAAGAAGTAATGAGGCATCTGTAACTACATGAGGCCACTATTCATTGTACATGGGACCAAATTAGAGGGGTTTAAACAGTAATTGAGGACCCTGAGACTGTCAAAAACAAACATTCACCTGTTCTCCCCCTCCTCTCCTGGAAGGGGCAGGACAGATCTGAATTAGAGTACAAGGTGATCAAGATAAGGGCCATATTTATCTTTACTGGCTCAAAATGCGTTTTTGTAATATCTTTTTTAGTGCATTACTTTTTCGCTGGGAGCTTGGAGATAATCAAGTGAAATCTTCCACCAGTCTTTAATCAAGCTGTTTCTTCTTGTCTAAAATATATTCCAGCCATAACTTACCGTACAAGACCGTCTTGGTAAAAATGCGGAGTGTCTGGGTTGGAATAGAAGAATATCGTAGGTGTGCTGAAAGAAGGAGCACTCCTCAACATCAGAAGAATTTGAAAGATTTGAAGGAGCAGTTAGACAAACCTCCAGCCTTTTTTTTTTTTTTTTTTTTTTTTTTTGTATAGTACATGTTAGCTCTGTGTATTCTTTCAAGCTTTAATTCCCTCCTTCTTTCACATTAATGCTGGGAAAGAAGTACTTTGGGGAGGACAAAAAGAAAAAGCAAAGTGATAAAAAGATGCAGCTAGAGAAACTTAGGGAGATTGAGCAAGAGGCTGTGAAAGTTACTGGAAAAGAGAAGTTTTATGTTCCTGCTTCATTGTACCCCAAAGACATTTTTCTAGATATAGGGAGTTAGAGATGCACCTGGTTTGGGCTTCTGTCATTCCAAACATGAAGCAGAATGGATTTTGCCCACCAGATGAGCATGAGTGTTCATCTTTCAGGCTCTTTGAGCCCAATGTATATGACACATGTAAAACAAACAGTATTTTTATATTGAATGTTTACATTTTTATCTGTACCAGGTTTCGACCTCATCAAGATGCAGATCCTGAAAAGCCCCGAGTTGCTGCCCTGATTGACAGATTAATCTCTTTCAAAAACAATGATCATGGGGCCTGGGTCAGAGGAGGGGATATCCTCATTCAAAACTCTGGGTAGGTATCCTGAAGCAAACAGCTGCATGTTGTTAAGAAATTTGCCCTGAAGCTTTGTTTGTGAAAGTGAGTTACAACAGGGTCGTAAGAGAAGGTTGATGCTTAACTCAAGGAACTTCTCAATATCTTGAACTACTTTCACACCATCCCACTACATTAAATAGGACAAGTTTTTGTGTGATCAGATAAGAACCTGCCCTAAACAGCAAAAAGAAACTATGTAATAAAAAGAACTCTGAAAGTTGGTAAAGACAGTAAATTTATACAGAAGTATCTGTGATTTCCCTGATGCTCTCATGTTCCTGCTTAAGTTATGTAGAAAATTACTTGATTTTTTTTTTAACAGCAACGTTTTAATAGGATTTATTAAGTATGTGGTGGTTCTAAATTCCATTATGTTGTGGTTTAAAGGCTAGCTGGCAATAGCACCATGCAGCTATTTGCTCACCCCTCCCCCTGGTGGGATGGGGAGGAGAATAGGAGGAACAAAAGGTAGAACCTTGTAAGTTGAGATAAGGACAGGTTTAATAGTACAACAGAAGAAAAGAGAAGATTATAATAATAACAATAACACTAATAAGAATATATATGTATGTTGAGTGATGCACAATGCAATTGCTCACCGCCCAGATCCTTGATGTTTACAAGCCACCTCCCCTGGCCAGCTCCCTGAGTTATACACTGAGCATGAAGTCAGCATGGTATCAAATATCCCCCTGGCTTGTCAGCTACTGTGGTTGTGCCCCCCTCCCAGCTTCTTGTGAAAATTAAGCCTATCCCAGCTGAACCCAGGACACATTAATAGAAAAATTCAGGCTTTCTTCAGTGCATAGCAGGATGTGCTCTTACAGTAGCTTACTGTAGGATAATTCTGAAAACATGACTGAAGCTTTGAACTTTCTTTTAGGTTTGCAGACAATGGAATAGGTTTGACGTTTGCTAGGTAAGTACTTTATGCTAATCAGTTCTGGGTTTTCTGGCCTGTAAGCTTGGAAAATATACATGCGTCTATTAAAATTAATAGGTATACTTTCATAAGGCTATAGTTTCATTTTTGGACCTGGTTCTGCTTCCAGTGATGTGGATGGTGCTATAAAGGCTGTAAACTGACACAGCTGCCAAAGCGTGTAGTTTAATTCAACCTGTGCTTATTTAGACAACAACTTGCTGCCCCTTCACCAGAAGGATTATGTTTATCCACATATTTTTGGTGTTGTATGATTCCTTAGACAGTTTTGGCTTTCCTTGTGAACAGCTGAAAGTGAGTAATGGAAAAGAAAGGGGATGAGCATTTAGCGGGGACAGAGTCTCTTTCTAATAAAAAAGAATCGAGTAACTTAGGTAGCAAACCAAAATTGCTGCTATTATGACAAACAGGTTATAGGGTTGCAGAAGTGGGCTGTAAAAGAATGAGTGCTGCACTGCAAAGAGAGATAAAACAACAAATTTAACCATTAGCTGTATTATAGGATATGTGTTGTAAATTAAGTCTAGACTGCTCTACTTTAGGAGGACTGTTACAGAAGTAAAAGTAGGACTATGCCTTGGTGTGTTCATCTGCTGGAGGAGAGTCTTGGCTAAAATCTTATCTCTGACGTTGCTTTGATAGCGATGGGAGCTTCCCAAATGATGAAGGTGCCAGCCAGGAGGTATCTGAGTCACTCTTCATAGGAGAGAGCAAGAATTATGGGTTTCCAGGCGGCCAAAATAAATATGCAGGAACTGGAGGAATAGACAACAAGGCACGCACACTGCCTAGAAATCGGTAAGTATGTTACCGGTGAAGGAAGTAGAAGTGATAAAAGAAATGTTCTCTGTATCAGATGTAAACACATCCTTCTTGCTTGAACTCTGAGAGATTAGGGCTCCATTGAAGGTGATGCTCTCTTTTTCTTTTTAACACTTTGTGTGTAGCTGTGTCACTCTTACCTTCTTACTGAGTCAGTTTTCATCTGATGCTAGCACAGGGTTGCTTTTCTGTAGCAATTTGTTATCTTACTTCAGCAAAACCTGAGTCTTTAACAACACTTGTGCCTGGAAGAAACGAAGAAAAAGCTTCCAGGTAAAAGGATAACAAGGGCCAGTTTAGGACTAGAGACCACAGTCTGTCTGAGACAAATCCCAGTCTGTGGCCATGATCCTTTTGTTTTCCCTCTGGCTTGCTGTTATGCTCGTTTAACATAGTGCCAAGCCCTACTTTTGCCCCAGAATTGGAAAAAAAAAAGTGAGGTAGGTTGAGGCTACCCTGTTTCTTTGATGCTTAGCCATTTAGAGAGAAGAAGTTAATGTGGCAGTGATATGAGGTATTTGCTCTAGTTGAGCAGAACCACAGAACCGTTGAGGTTGGAAGGGACCTTTAGATGTCAACTTGTCCTACTCCCCTGCTCAAGCAGGGCCACCTAGAGCTGGTTCTCCAGGACCATGTTCAGGCAGCTTTTGAGTATCTCCATGTCTGGAGACTCCACAGCCTCCCTAGGTTGGATTCTCTCCAGTAGCTCCGTGTCTGTCTTGTACTGGAGACAAGCACTCTAGGTGTGGCTTCTCCAATGCTGAGTAGATGGGAAAGATCTCCTCCCTTGATCTGTTGGTAACACTCCTCCCAGTGCAGCCCAGGATACCATTTGCCTCTTTGCAGCAAGGGCACTTTGTTGACTTATGATCAGCTTGGTTTCCATCAGGACCCATAGGTCCTTTTCACTGCCACATAGGGTTGTTCCTTCCTAGGTGCAGGATTTTGCGCTTCCCCATGTTGAACTTCATGAGATTCCCATCTGCCCATTTCTCCAGCATGCCAAGGTCTATCTGGATGTCAGCATGACCCTGGTGTATCAGCTGCTCCTCGCAGTTTTGTGACCTTTGCAAACTTGCTGAGACTATATTCAGCCCTATCATCCAGCTCACTAATGAAGATGTTAAGCAGGATTGGACCCAGTATTGACCCCTGGGGTGCACCACTAGTTACTGGCCTCCAACTAGACTTCACGCCACCACCCTCTAGGTCCAACCATTCAGCTAGTTTTCAGTCCACCTCACTGTCCTCTCCTCTAGCCCATACTTCATAAGGATCTTATGGGATACAGTGTCAGAAGCCTTACTGAAGTTTGGATAGACCATGCCCACTGCTCTCCCCTCGGCTACCAGGCCAGTCATTTCATCACAGAAGCGTATCAGGTTGGTCAAACATGACTGCTTCTTGGTGAATCCATGCCGATTACTCCTGATTACTTTCTTGTCCTTCATGTGCCTTGAAATGGTTTCCAGGATTAGCTGCTCTGTCACTTAGGGATCAAGCAGGGGCTTACCAGCCTGCAGTTCCCTGGATGTTTCTTCTTGAAGTTAGAATGACATATGCTTTCCTCCAGTCTACGAGCACTTCTCCCAGTTGCCATGGTAAATCAAAGAGCAGGTGGTATAATTCTTTTTTTTTTGTATTTCTCATGTTGGGAAAGGGGCACATTTGCGAGTGGACAGTGATAGCTCTTCTAACAGGAAAACTCAAAAGAGTGGGGGATTTTTTTGACTCATTAGATACATGCACAAACAAGAGTTCCTTTACGAAGATCTAACCTGCAAGTCATACTTTTAATGTTGCTTTCTTAATTCCCCTGAGAGGAAATGTATTTGACACAGATTCAGTCTTCTCATGGGTTTTTTTTACAGGATGCTATAAATATTTGCTTGCATTAACAGGACATTTCCGATCAGAGGCTTTCAAATTTATGATGGACCTATTCACCTTACCAAGTGCACATTCAAAAACTTTGTGCCAACTCCAGACAGATTCACCAGTGCAGTTGGATTCTTGATGAAAAATCCATGGCAGATGACACCAAAAAACAACATTTCTCTTGTGAAGTTTGGTCCAAATGTAAGTTTATTAAAAGTTTTATTCTTCAAAATGGCTTTCTTTTCTTCTTGCTGTATTTAAAAGAAATAACCAAGGCCCCTAGGTTGTCTTTTCCATAGGTCCCTCCTCCAGAGTTTGTCTCTTGGATGGAAGTCACCTGAGGTGTATACTTTGTCTTCTGAGCAAAAAATAATACTAAGGGAGTTGTAGGATATGTTGCAATAATTATCTGTTTCATGGCTAATGGTGAAGCTGAAAGGAGGTTTTTTTAAGGTTTGGTATGTCCTTAGTAATGAGTTTTCAGTTGCAAATACTAACACTGTTCAGAAGCAAGAGCTGGCTGAAGCCTATTACTAAAAATCAAAATGTATATTTTGCAAGATTCCACTGCTCTTGCCATAAGGCTTTTAATCAGCTTTGTCAAATTCCTGTGTTTCTGCAGGTGTGCAAGTGTTAGTCTGTGCTTTTTTTAGTCCCCCCTTTTGTCTGGGCCAGGGGGGAAAATATTTTAATTGTTGTTGCCAGGTGTCTTTGAAAGCCTTCTTTGGAAAACCTGGTCCCTGGTTTGAAGAAGGAGATCTGGATGGGGACAAGAACTCAATATTCCATGATCTAGATGGTTCAGTGACTGACTACAAGGATACCTATGTGGGCAGAATGGATAACTACTTGATTCAACACCCTAAATGCATTAATGTTACAGAATGGAGTGGAGTGGTTTGCAGTGGGACCTATGCACAGGCTAGTACTCTTGTAGCTTTCTGTTTGGGGCAAATCTACAATATGAACCACTTGTGGGGGCAGGGGAAGTGTAAGAGCTACAAAATTACCTATCTTTAGAATTAAAAATTCTTTATGTTTTAAAAATACTTTTATGCCTATTACACTTTTCAGCCAGTTGTGTATATCGTGTTCCCTTCAGCACGCAAACTGGGAGTACAGTATTAGGTGCTGCAAGGTAAAACTAAACGTGTATGCATGTCAGGAGTTCTGTTGCAGCCCTATCTGCTAAAACATTTTTGTATTAGAGGTGTCTTCTTCTACTGGATTTCTGTCTGTCTTTTTTTTCACTGTGTGGGTTTTAAGTTTTGTTTTTTTTTTTTTTTTTTTTTTTTAATGGAGATGTTAAATACCACCTTCTGAATACAAATCTCACATAGGTTTGATTCCTGTTCTGGTTCCTGTTCTATGTGAGTTTGGCCAAGCACCATAGCTCATTCTAGATCTATTTTTTTCTCCTCTCTCCCTTTTTTATTCTGTCTGTAAAATGGGCAAAGTCTTCAATATTTTTTTCACATAGGGCTGTTCTTCAGGAGATATTTGTGTATTGCATAACTCATAATATCAAATTGCAGCATTTTGGCTAACAAAATACTGATTATTCTTTAGTATTTCATTTCTTTTGCACAGTGTCCAAATCCTTCCTCTTTCTTTTCATCCTCCTTAATATCATATAGCTTTATGTCCAAACCTGGAATGGACAGAATCTTTCCATGACTATCGTACGAGATGAGTACCCAGCCAATCCCATGGTTCTTCGAGGTATTAATCAGAGAGCTGTCTTTCAACAATACCAGCCAGTAGTGATGCTCCAAAAGGGCTACACAATACATTGGAATGGAAAAGCCCCGAACGTCACTTATCTTTATCTCATTAACTTCAACAAGTATGTTTACTTTCTTTGATGTCATTGATCCATAAGGCAATACTGAAGTAATGTCCTGCAGAATTAGCATACATGAGCATTTGCAACCATCAGTAATACTGGATCTCGGGTTGGGTTTTTTCATCATTATAAATACTAAAGCATGAAAAGCAAGAGATTAAGAAGTAGACCTGCACCTGAAGTTAAGCTTTTGTCCCGTACGTTGTCTTTAAGGAAAATCTTTTGGAGAAGAAAATGTGCAAATAGTGAAGTTGAGCAGAATTGGAGTTGAATAGTTTATCAGACTTTATTTTGTTGTCAGACAAACTTTTGAAATGTCTAAAGTATAAAATTAAATACATCCTGAGAGTATAAAAGTTACTATAACATGTAATGACACACTGTGTGGAGACGGGAAGAGAGATTTTCTGCTTGAAGTTTTGGGACCTTTTTGTGTTCTTGTTACTTGTTTTTTGTGTGATCTGTTTGCTGTGTATTGTCAACTAACTGTTCCTGCTGTAAATCGTGCATTTTATTTTGTTTTCAGGAATGACTGGATTCGTGTTGGCCTTTGTTATCAACCAAATACGGATTTTGTTATAGTATTGGAAACCTTTCAAAGGCGGTCATCTGCTCTGTCAAGCAAGGTAGAGCGCTACATGCCTGTGTCTTCAATGATGGAGCTTGAACAGAATCAATCAGACAAGAAGTTTTATTTTGACAACAGTACTGGGTAACTCCTTGTAACTTAACCCTATTGGAAGATGTTGTTTAACATAAAAATGTACAGTTTAATAGTGTTAAAAGCAACTGATTGAGACACCTGCATGCGAGAAAAGCTGTTGCAAGGGAGCCCAAAGCCTGTTTGAAAGAATACTTCATGTGACTTTGAATCTCCAAAATACAGTGGTTGTCATTGAAATACTTTTCCAAGAGCACCACAGCTGCCACAGATATTTCCTACCCCATGCCTGGGGAAAATGTGGTATCTGGTATGCTGCAGAGCAGCGTCTTTCAGGAAGTAACTTTTAAGTCTTCAGAGAAAATTTGTGCCTTCTTGTTAAACTGAAGATTCTAGAAATTTCTAAGAAGGTTTCTATTCCAAGAACATTTTAAGAACGTGTTTCTGAAAATCCTAATCTCTTTTCAGCCTTCTCAAAAGTGCTTAAAAGTCCTAGTCTCTCTTTCAAAAGTATTTCTGACAGAGGTCACTGAGTACCTTCTGAGAGGTTTAAGATATGGTCAACTTTCAGTAAAATAAACCCTACTTACATCACTTGTATGTTTTGCAAATGTTGATCTTTAATTTATAATTAGTTCTCTTTATTTTATTCCCCTATCTCCTACTTTGTCTGTGTGTAGTAAATATGTGGATGAATGTAGCTTTTGAAAAGACATTTATGTTTCTTTCGTTTAGAAGATACAGTGGTAACAGTTAAATATATAATAGACGAATTACAATACACGAATTACCAGTCTCTGTGCACTGTGAACATTGATGACCATTAATTACCTCCTAAATTGCATTTACGGGCATTTGCAACAGTACGATTACATTGTCCGGTGCTGGTGGGTGAAGTTGAATAGCCAAACAGTTACTGCTGGGTATCTGCAAAGATCTGTGTTCAAAGAAACCATTTATTCTCTGCAGTTTGATTTGTGTTTCCTGCAAGCCACTTGTTTGAAGAGTGTCTGTTCTTTTCAAAGCATATGCATTCATAATGATGTCTCCTTTAATTGTTGGGAATTTCAGCTATGTCATTAGAGACTTCCTAAGTCTAGTAAACTGTAAATATTTTTTTAAAAATTTGAACAATGGTGCAGAAGTGAATACTGTAGTTTTTTCTGCTTCTGAAAATCATGAAACATAGCTGTTAAGGTTTAACATAAATATCTATCTTTCCAGCAACTGATCTAGATTATTTTTCCCCCTTTTGTGCAGATTACTGTTTTTATTTCTTCAAGCCAAATATAATAGGGATGGTCACAGTTATTGCTCATCTCAGGGATGTGAAAGGATCAAGATTGTGACCAAAGATTCAGCAAAAGGGATCAGTAACTGCATGGCAAAAGCTTACCCAAAGTACTACCAAGAACCAACTGTCATAAAGCGGATGCCGGTAAAAACTACTGTACCATGTACAAAATGCGGCACAACTCAGGTAAAATAAAATAAGAGGAAAAACTTTAATGAACTGTATAGTTGATGTTGCTGTCTACTTGCTTTAAGGCAGAATATCAGCCTTTCAGCACAGAATACTGCATCAGAATATTCTGATATATTCATACATATATATCAATATTCTGTATTGGAATACCACCTTGTGGTGGTTAATCATCTGTATGGTAGAAGGTGGGGAGTCCCTTGTAGCAGAAAGGTTTCAGGTTTTTTCTTTGAAAAATACTGCTTCACCCCTCACTCAGAGTGCTATGGAGAAGGGGCATAGGTAGATCTGATGTCCTGTGCTGCGGTAGTGTCTGTAATCCATGTAGGATGGCTTTGCTAGGGAGATATATGTGGTGTTGGCTAACCTCTCTATTTTTTTGGATCTTTACTTGTTGGCATGAACTTGAAATTACATTATCCATTTTAGCTACACAAGCTGAGAAAAAATACTGAAAGTAAGGAATAAGATGGGTTAGTCTATACATCATGGTATTTATTAGCATTGCTAGTACTATAAATAACGCCTCTGACAAATGGATTTGCTTTGGAGCATGGGCGGTCTGATGTAAATTGTCTGGCATGATAAAGTGTTGAAGACACATGGATTATGTGTACTTAATGTGTTTCGTTTGATATCCAGATGGTATTCACCAGCGATCCTCACAAAAACTACCTCCTTGTGCAGATTAATTCATCTGGTAAAAAAGAGTTAAGCAGAGGTCAGCAAGCATTTATTTCTGTAAGTATTCCTTACAGAACTCTTCTATCTTTCTTTTTATCAGTTTGTATTACAGCAGTTGTACAGCTCTACAAAATGCTGACCTCACATTTCTTCACTTGAATGAAAAGTGTTGGTTGATAGTTTAAAAGCCAAACAGTCAAAAAGCTGATGTTTTAACCTCAGAAAATCGGGCTCCAAAGCTCCATTTTGTATTCAGATTCTTTCCTGCTGGAGAGAAAATTGTACCAGTAAGGGAGAGTTTAAAAAGAGAAGGGCAATGAAGCTGGTGAAGGGTCTGGAGCACAGGTCTTATGAGGAGAGGCTGAGGGAACTGGGGTTGTTTAGTCTAGAGAAGAGGAGGCTGAGAGGACACCTCATCACTCTCTACGACTACCTGAAAGGAGGTTGTAGTGAGGTGAGTGCTGGCCTCTTCTCTAAAGTAACAAGTGATAGGACAAGAGGAAATGGCCTCAAGTTGCACCAGGGGAGGTTTAGGCTGGATATCAGAAAAAAATTCTTCACTGAAAGAGTGATCAGGCATTGGAACAGGCTGCCCAGGGAAGTGGTGGAGTCACCATCCCTGGAGGTGTTCAAGAAACGTGTAGATGTGGTGCTTAGGGACATGGTTTAGTGAGTTAGGTGGTGTGGGTTGACAGTTGGACTTGATGATCCTTGAGGTCTTTTCCAACCTTAATGATTCTATGATTCTGTGAAATCTGGGTGGATATACACTTATGGATGGCTGCTTTTGCAAAACAAAAAAAAAGCCCCACAAAACCATGTTGGTTAAATAACTTGTTAGTTAAATCTGTGTTGTTCAAATTGGTTTTGTGCTAATTTTGTGAAATTAATGAGTTAATAGGATGAGTCATTCAAGCCATTAAGCTTTGCTAAGCTCCTTTAAAATGGCAATTTAATACTAAAGAATCCGTAGAGATTTCTGTATTTGTTCTGGTGCGGTACTGATAATGCTAGTGAAGTGATATTGTATAAAAATGCTGAAGGAGACTTGCATGTGATGCTGAAATAGCATTTGTAGACATCCTCCAGCACAAAGCCTTTAAGTCTGTATGCAGCTTATATTCTGCAATGTCAGTGCACTAGATTGGTTGAACTAGTAAAACTCTCAAGTTTGGACAGGCAAATGGCACCTTAGCGGTTGCAGACTTCTACAGGAATCTCTGTGCTCTATACCAAGCAGGAAGAGTACTGTGGGAAGAAACTGGGCTGGAACTGGGCTGCTGCAGAGACAGAGTAACTGTACTATTGCGAATGCATCCAGGTGGTTCAGTATCTGAATTTTAGCTTCCAGAAGCAGGAGCAATGACTGAGGCAGATATCAGGTCACCTGAAATGTATGATCTCCCTGTAGAAGCCAGGAGCTGAAGGCTCCCATGCAATTTCAGAAGTCCCAGTGAAAGCCTCCCCTCAAGCAGGAAAATGAAGAGATGCTAGGGAGAAGCAAGTATTTGTAGGGAATTTAGTACACCACTGTATCTAAACTGGATGAAGATTAGCACTGAGTGCAGTAAAATAGCTGTTGAATTCTTATTAACTTTAAGAAACAAAGAAAAAGTTCTTTTCTTTTTTGTCTTCCCATTCAGGTCAATGACACTATGTTTTCCTTCAAGGATAACGGTATACTTATCATTGTAGTTGATGCCTGCATGGGCACGGTGTCGGGAAATAAATTATTTTCTGGAGTAGACATTAAGCTTGTAGATGGATATTTAAAATCTGGAATTCCACAAAGGTACATGTAATGACCACTTATTTCCAGTATGTCGTATAAGCTCTCTAACAAGGATTTAATTAATGACACCTATACAGGAGCACTGAAAGTGAGCAAAACATATTTCTGAGTTGAGGTGAAAGGAGAAACATAGGAGCATTTTAACAGACAATTTAGCTGTATTTGCGAAAACAGAGCAACTCAAATTTTGAATGCTCACAGTTTTCCAGGGTTGCTTGTCTTGCACCTCAAAAATAATTATTTTTTTTAACTAAACATCATGTATTAACACTTCTTTGCTTAAAACAAGAATAACTGTCTATTTAATAAGGTCAGTTAAGGACACTGACGAGAACTGTGTAACAAGATATCCTACTGTTATCTCCCTATCTAGAGAAAGATAGAAAGTTAGTGTCAGAAGAATCAGCATTCTAATATTCTAATTTTTGGATCAGTATCTAAACTCGATTTTTGTTGATACAAAATATTATACTGGATTTAAATGATACTTTCCAATTTTTGAAGTTAAATGTAAAAGCCAGTGTAAAAAAAAAAAAAAATTCTAGGTACTGCTTTTATGACTATTTCTATGTCATAAAATGACATCACATGAGTACTCTAAAGCAAATGAACTATGAGGCCAGTTAGCTGTAAAAGCATGTAGCAGAATATTAAGAAAACTTTGTTACTTATAACAGGTGTTCTCTCTGCACCATTTCTGCTGCAGGTCTATCGTTCTACTGAGCACAAGAGGCGATGTAGCAATTCCTAATAGTTTATCAGAAGCCTTAATGTCCCTGGGGACAGCCAAACCGCCTTATCTTCAGAGCAACGGTTGGTGGAAATTTTGCACATTTCTTTGACACCACCCTGGTCTGTGTGTTTATGTTGGCATGGTGGTTTTCTCACGGGGTGTGTGAAAAGGATGCAGCTGGCGGAGGAGGGTTGCCAGTTTGCACTGGTGTGGGCTGCTGCGTTTCAGCCCTCGTTTGTGGGAGGGGGGGCGGGGGGGGGGGCAGC